TTTTTTTTGGTTTAGTGTCCTCTTGTGGTTATGATATCTGAATATATCTCTCTGGTTGGTATGATTGCTTATAAGCCACTAGGTTGGGGAAAATTTCAAAAGTTGTAAATGATTTCCTTTACAAATGATTCATAAGATGTAGCCACGAACACAAAAGAAATTAAAACTATAGGAGCAAGAACATTATTCAAACATACTACATGAAATTTGAAGGTTTTCTTTACATTAAGATGGGTATATCACCGTTTTGTAGCATTTGGTCACTTGGTGATACTTTGACGGTACGTAAAGTTAGCAAAAACAAACTCAACACTCATCGCGAGCCATTGATGTGGTTGATAAAACAGTAAAAAATTTGTATAAAAAAAGGTTTATCGTATTTATTATAGTTATTAGAGAGGAAAATGGGATCATCTGAAGAATTTTGTCGATCACAAAATGGGCAGAGGACAAGATTAATAAAAGTCAGCCGGTGAAAACAACTGTTTGTGTCAATTTTAAACACCCCCCTTCCCCAAAAGGATAAGTGTTCATTAGTATCGCAAGTTGAAAATGCAGGAGAGGGAGAAGAGTGGAAAGGAAGAATGCAGAGGAACAAGCCTCTTCTCTCATAACATTATTTAGTAGGTTTAAATATTCCGAGACTTAAACCTACTAATTTATGAAATGCGTTTAGACAGTCTAGTTTTAATAAGAGCATTGAATAGATGTCATGGTGGTTAAATTTTTATTTCTACCGATAAACACTAAAAGTAAAATAATGTTAAAAAGCCTTGAATCCTCGATAGAATCTGAAATTAATAAAATCAGCGACTTTTTCTTCAAATAATAACAAATAAGTTTAAATATATTTTTAATTTCTTAAATATCGTAATTATACTATTTTATCCTTTTAAATTTTAATTGAGTAATTTTAATCTTTCAAGTATCACAACTATTCATTCTCACTAAAAATCTAATAATTTTTGTAAAAGAAAATTTAATTAGTATATTTTTAATTAAACTTTTTCTATTATATATATCTTATCTAATATATTTATATTTTTGTAAAAGTATATTAATATGTACTAATTTACATTTATGAAATTAATTTATCTACAAATACACAAATAATATTATTGATATTTACTTGTTAATAATATTATAATATTAATAATGTATATAATTTTTTTATTTAATAATAATAAATATATTATTTGATACGTTAACAAAAATTATAATATATGTTAAC